GGAGATGTGGGCACCACATGTGCTTGGCCATGTTGACACAAGCAACACATGGGCTCCCGCAGAGTGTGCACCCCCTTCCTTTGTTCAAGGTGGCTTTTATAGGGTCAGTCCAACCTGCCACCTGGGGCTTCTATCTAGGTAAAAGTCCATTGTTAGGGAAGTTACTAGGGGGGATAGAGTTGGGAGTCTTAGACGGTCTTTGAAATTCCTTTCCTGGCCGTTTGTTCCTGCTGGAGCATCTCTCAGAGGGGGTGTCCAGACTTCTCTGGGTTTGTTGCCGCACCAGGTGAAAGTCTTATCCAGTCTCAGAGGTTCTTGTTTTCTGCAAAGTTGGCTTTTTGCAACTTCAGGACTATTGGTATTATTATTTCCCAGGAAACTCATTAGTGCCATTGCCTTGGAGCCCTCGGGGTGGGGGGTGGGGGCGGTGTCCCTACCTGCCTACCTACATCAGGCCCAACTCACTTTCAGTCTTTGTGGGGACCTCAAAGGGGACCTCCCCAGCTGTAGGGGACCCCTCACTAATCAGGAGTAGTCAACTGACTTTTGTTTTGTTTGCTCACACTCTGCTGTGTTCAGGGCTGACACCTGGCTCTGCACTCAGGTATCACTCCTGGTAGGCTCAGGGGATCCTAAGGGATCGAACCTGAGTTGGCCTTGTGCAAAGTACACACCCTACCTACTGTACTAATTGCTCTGGACTCATGGAGCATTAAATTGAAAGAAAGGTCCAGGGAACCCAAAGCTAGGCTCACTGGACCTTTTAGACAAAGGCTCTCAGATAGATTAGATTTGCCCTCAGAATGCACCATGTGATGTCCCCACTTGCCCTCTTGAAACTTAGACAAAATTAGCATAAAAGTTAAAAGACACAAAGTTAAAATCATGCCCAGCTGTCATCTGGAGGGGAAGCTTAGTGAAGTTCTGTCTTGTTCTTAGGTCCATGCTCTGTCCGCCTGCTGTGGAGATCCCAGCAGGTGGGCAGTGACCCCAGTCTCGGAGCCTGGTGGATTCTGTACTTCACCCACAGCTACTCAGTCCATCAGCCGTTGACTTCTGATGGGGCTCTTGTTTGGTAGAGTCTCCAAACCAAGGCTTGCCTTCCTCTGATAGTATAGCAGTTGTCAGAAAAGTCAATGGGAAAGAAAATCTTGGGGGGCTTGATGTTTTCATAGGACTCAGGATTGGGAGGGTCTGTGCTCACAGGATTGTCCATATTTTCTCCCTGTGGATTTGCACTGGGTCATATGTGGCTCATGGGACTCCAGACCCTTCATGTAGTGGGCAGGTAGTCCTCCATGCATCACTATGTCCAACATCCTTGGCTCTAAGGATACATATGCTCCTTGAAATCTTAGTGAAAATCAGAAGAACCCCCATAGGATCCTTGGAGGCAGTGTCAGCTCTTCCTAGTTGGGGATAAGAGACCCCTCCCTCTGCCCAGACCTCTTTTGGTAACTCAGGGGGAACTGTGGGGCTCAGGGAGGGGCAGCCTGCTCGGATGGGCCCAGGGGTTAGGTGCAGGAGGACAGATCAGGGCCCTGCAGAGTGTTTGTGTAGGAACCATCAGGAACTGTCCTCCTGGCTCAGGTCGGGACAGCCCCAGAACATCCTTTGTGAACCCACAGTGGTGGACACACCACATGGTCTGAGCCATGGAGTGGTTTCCTTGCTGAGGGAGAGCTCAGTGTGGGCTTCTTCCCCCAGGAGGTCAGCCATTGGCTGAATGTTTCTGGTGACTGACCTATGTCCCTCCCTTCCCCTGCTGTCACTGCTGTCCTCTCTAGGCTGTGGTTGTGTTGCTCGCTGTGGCTGGGGTGCTCAGCGGGGTTTGCCCACTTGTGCTACTCACACACATGTGGGTGCAGTGTGCCAGGGTCTTTCACTTATTGTGGTGGCGAGGCTCAGCCCTGTAGGGTTGGGGTCACACTCAGAGATGCGGGAGGTGCTGGGGACCCAGGGCTGGGCTTCACATGGGCAGGGGGTGCTGTGCCACTGAGCCGCATCCCCGGGCTCAGGAGAACTTTTCTCCCCCTCACCCCCGATCATATAGGGCCCACCTGGTTCCTGCTAAGGCTTGGGGAGTGTTTTTTTTTTTTTTATCAACTGTAGATCTCTGTTCTCAGTTTCTTCTTTTGTGTAGTCTGAGGAATATGCTCATTTTGTTTTATCTTTCTGCAAATGTCTATCCAGTTTTTTCAATACCCATTCAATTTATATTTCTTTTATTAAATGTTCAGTTTCTATTTGTGCTTGAGTTGATTTCTAGGCGACCTGACCTATTTCATCAGTTGTTGGCCCTTGTGACAACTTACCATCCTGTTCCACTTCCCTCTTTCTTTAATCCCATGTCCCTGGCTTTTCCTGCAGGTGTTTTTGTCCTCCCCTCCCCCCATTGACTTTGTATTATCTTGTCTCTCTCTGGAAAATCAAACCACATTTGTTAAAATTTTAAAAATATTCAAATTTAGGCTTGTGATTCACAATACTATTAATGATAGTGTTTTATGCATACAATAGTACCACACCCTCCACCAGTGTATCCCCCCTCCACCATTTGCCTCTCCCACACTGTTCCCCACCTACTATGGTAAACTCAGTTCTGTAGATCCATTCTCAGGTTCTATTGCCTTTGGCCATATGTTTTTCTGTTCACTATGTTTTTTCAATTCACAGTGATTAGCACAGCAATAGGGCGTTTGCCTTGTAAGCCTCTGGTCAGGCCAAGCCCGGTTCAATTCCTCTGCCCCTCTCGGAGAGCCCGGCAAGCTACCGAGAGTATTTTGCCTGCACAGTGAAGCCTGGCAAGCTACCTGTGATGTATTCAATATGCCAAACACAGTAACAACAAGTCTCACAATGAAGACGTTACTGGGCCCGCTCAAGCAAATCGATGAACAATGGAAGGACAGTGCTACAGTGCTATGTTTTTTTTTTTTAAATGTCCCGTGTATGAGAAAAAGGCAGCTCAGATAGAGAAGAGACCACCAAGTAAAGGGTGCTAAGAAGGCCTGCTCGGGATGGGAGATGCGGCTGAAAGTAGACTATAGACCGAACAGGATAGCCACTTAATAATTCTATTGCAAACCACAACACTCAAAAGGAGAGAGAGAACAAAAGGGAATGTCTTGCCACAGAGGCGGGGTCAGGTGGAAGGGATGGGGTGGGGGTAGTGGGAGGGATTCTGGGACCATTGGTGGTGGAAAATGGACACTGGGGGAGGGCTGGGTACTCGATCATTGTATGACTGAAATGCAAGCACGAAAGTTTATAAGTCTGTAACTGTACCTCACGGTGATTCACTAATAAAAAATTTTAAAAAATAAAGAAAATGAAAAAAAAACATGCATGAGAGAGTTGTTACTATTTTTGTAGGAAAACCACTGAGTTATTGAACTAGCAGGGAGAAATGGTATCTACCTGATGTTGAGAATGTTGATGTGATTTTGTGCAAGAACATCTTCCATAGTTAAATTTACATCTAACCATCTTGCTAAATTTTATTGTCTGAGTGTTCTGTTCTTTTAAATCCTGTATTTCTAGGATTTTCGAGGTGTACTACAGGTGCTTGCAAGTAGTGTTTTTTAATTTCTCTATCCCAATTCTTCAGACTCTTTTTCTGGTATTTAATGGCAACTGTGTAAAACCCCTAAGGAAATGGGAAGTGGTAATTAATGAAGTAAACAAAGTTGTGTTAATTAATTAATTAATTAATTGCTTTTTTCGGTCACACCAGGCACTGCTAATGGGTTACTCCTGGCAGTGCTAGGGCAATCATACGGGATTCTGGGGATCGAAGCCAAGTGAGCCGTGTAAAAGGCAAACGCCCAACACACTGTACTATTGCTCCATCCCCAAGTTGTTTTCAGTTTGCCCCGAGTGGAAATACGTTAAAATTTTTCTAGCTAAGTAAGAGGATGGCTCTGATATTCAGATATATATGTATATAAGGTAAAGGCCCTCCCGTTGATCGTCGATTTGCTCGAGCGGGCCCAGTAACGTCTCCATTGGAGACTTTGTTGTTACTGTGTCTGGCATATCGAATACTCTCGGTAGCTTGCCGGGCTCTCCGAGAGGGGCAGAGGAATCGAACTCGGGTCGGCCATGTTGGCTGCTTGTAAGGCAAACGCCCTACTGCTGTGCTATATACACACATACATCTATATTTAGGTAGCTATGTATATGTATTTATATTCATATATGATAGAAACATATAAATACATCTATAAGGAACTACGATTCATTCTCAAGATGTATGTCATACCCCTTAACCTGATATCTGTCAGTGTGTATTCCTATCAGCTATATACACACATACATCTATATTTAGGTAGCTATGTATATGTATTTATATTGATATATGATAGAAACATATAAATACATCTATAAGGAACTACGATTCATTCTCAAGATGTATGTCATACCCCTTAACCTGATATCTATCAGCGTGTATTCCTATCAGCTATTACTCCTCCTACTTACTTGTCTCCCTGTTTGTGTATCTATACATGTATCTTCTGTTTATTTATTTATATGCTAACATATCTGTCTTTGTACTTTTGTGTTTATCTATTTATATAGCTAGTTTTCTGTGTACCCACCCACCTCTGATGTATCCAGTTTGTACCCTTCTATCAGTTTCTGTGTATCTTCTATAAACCATCTGTATATTTTTCAGGATTTTATCTTTCTTTTGTGTTTGACTTCTATGATTTCTTTAAGTTTTTATTTAGAAATAATTTCAAACTCATAAAAATCTACCACAAATACTTGGGTCTCCAGAAACCCTTCTTGCAGACTCCCCATAACACCGAACCACGTTTAATGAGTGGAAGCAGACAGCCCACTACTGCTGGGTCACGAAGACAGTAGGCTGTAGAAGTGTCCCCTTCTCCTTTAATCACACCAATAATCAGTCGCAATGGAGCCGGCAGTTGTTTATTACAAAGAGGAAAGCCAGGGAAGGCTAGAAACATCCCAGTGCCCAAGGTCAGTGGGCATCATGGCTTCTCATGGCCGGTGAGTTCCTGTGGGTTCATGATTTTGCCCAGGAAAAGGCAGTTCCATGAGGTAGGGTGGAAGACCATGATGATGAAGGGATGGTTGAAGCGAATTGCAGGAGCTTTGCGGCCCACAGACCTGCTGAGGATGTTGGACGAAGCTGCCTGGCCATTCTCATTGAATTGCAGATTGGAGCTGTATACCACCTGTGGGTATGGTCCAAGGGGTGAAAGGTGAGTTCCTGCTGTACCCCAACGTTCCACAGCTACTCATGGCTTCCTGCCCATTTCCCCCAACCCCTCATTGATGCTAGGTGGAGTTGGGATTCAGGGATATGCTGTTGGTTTCTCAGGGAGATGTGGGACCTAACTCCTGTGTGGGAAGGAACTAATCTCTCAGGGAAAGGGGTCTCTGTAGAAATGTCAGGGGGCTATGAAAAAGGAGAAGGATTTCTGGAGTCAGCACCAGCCTGAGTGTGTGGATGCAAAGTCGGGGACAGCTCTGTAGTGGCATGTCACAGGCTCTGCACTCCGGGGTGGGGATCGTGTGTCCAGTAGCCAGGACATTGAGATGGGCCTGGCATGTGCCATGAATGGGAATGAGGTCTGAGTCCAAGCCTGGGCCAAAGGGGACAGAGTTTGTTGGCTCTGCAGCCTCCTGAGCTCTTTGTCTTTCTGACCAGACTCTCCTTGAAACTGCAGCACCCTTGGGAGGAGGAGGAGACTTTGATTGAGCAGTTCTGTACAAAGAGTTTCACAGAGATTGAAGTTCATGTATATGTAGAAGGGGGCCACTATCCCTAAAGCTTTTCCCCTTCCATCCCCTCATAGTTTTGTCACTTTCAGATCTCTGAGGACTGACCAGATCAGAGACATGGAGACTCTCCAGTGGCCTGGGGAGCTCTTTCAGAATGAAGGCATGAATGGAGAGAACAGGGACAAAAACAGTGAAACTATGGATGAGGATACAGTGGGACTCTTTAAGACATCTGGTTTTGGGGCTGCCCACAGCCCTCCTGACCACTTCCTTTTGTGGTCACCTGGATGGCACAGGGACATGTGGGGCTGCAGCCTCCCAGGTCACCTGCCTGCTGCTTCACTGGGACACCCCCTTCTTGGGCTGTGCCACAAGAGAGCCTGCTGCAACCCTCAAGCCATAGGAAATATCTGGGGTTCAAGGCCCGGGACCTGGACACCCACTCAGGACTGAGCTTCGTGGAGTTGCCTGTCATTGTGGATTTGGGGGAGCAGGGAGTGAAGGACCCCAGAGATACTTACCTTTGACAACGTCTGTACTATGCTGGTGTATTTGTTCAAGTCTGTATGGTTGTTCTTTAAATCATTGAGACTCAGGGCCTTCAGGATTTCCCCAAGGTCATAGAGACCAGACAGGGAGAGTTTGGGGATGTAGAGGTCCACATTGCTGCTTGGGAGAAGCATACGGGTTAGGCATTTTCTGCTCAGAGGAAACACATGGGTTAGAGACACTCTGGCACAGTGCCTTTGGCTTATTCACATGGTGGCTTGCTCTGGAACTGAAGCCACCATGTTCTGTGTCTTTAGCCCACCCCCATCTCTGTGTGCATTCCTGACACATCAGGGCAGCATGAGGACCCAGGGACCCTCCCAGATCTCTCTGCTCGAAAGCTTTCGTCCATTGGGCTGACCACTTCTATGAAAAAACAGATACAGTTCTCAAATGTTGGCGCAGGTGGGGTGGGCCTTTATACATGACCTACCCACCTCTGAAGGCATTTGCTTCACTTTAGAATTCCTTCTCTCCACAGTGGAAAGACATTTCAGGAATCCTGAGCATCAGAAGGCATAGGGGGCTACTGCATGGACGGAAGGAGGGACTGAACTGGGATTGGGAGGAGATACTCTCTTCCTGGATCTCAACCAGATCTGGCACCAGTGACTGGAGAAATACTGGCTAGTGTGTGGGCCGGGGACTCTAGCAGGATTATGCTCTGAGCTCCTCCTCCCAGTCATGGGGGCAAGTTTGTTCCAAGCTGGAGTCAGATGGTGATGCAGGAATGAAAGCGAGTTTCCCCAGAGGGAAGCTGGAGATGGGCACTGTGGTCTGAGAATCATGATTTCCATACAACTATGCTATAAGGCTAAGGAGAGGCAGATCAGAAGAAGAGGAACAGGACTGGATGCAGAACAGAACTGCTCAGAACAGAACAAGAGGAGACAGAACTAGATGCTGAAGAGAACTACATGGAACAGAACTAGATGCAGAGAGAACTAGATGCAGAAGAGAACTACTCTGAACAAAACAAGAGGAAACAGAAGTGAACGGAACTAGATGCAGATTAGATGTCGAAGACCAGACTCAAGAGACGTGAAGGAGATGCTGAGAAGGGGATGTTGAAGGAACTGAATGAGACCAGAAGGAGATGAGGAAGGAGATGAAGACAAGACTCTGGGACTAGATGTTGAGGACGAGATGGTTGATGAAGAGAAACTGAAGATGAGGAGGAGAACTGAGGCTTTGGGACTTTGGGACTGCAACCAAAACTATGATTATTACAGACTACAAAAGTGCACTGTAAAGGTAGAGATGGGAGGACATCGGGGAGGAAAGAAATAAACTGACTGCTAACCAGCCTGGGGCCTGGCTCCTGTTCCTTCTTCGATTCCCCGGTCCTTTTTCCCATCATCCGACCTGGGGAGACAGCTCTTGGCCACCAAATGCTTGAGCCCTGTGACTCCAACTTTTCAGTTAACATCCCACCGTCTTGTTTTTATTCTTGTATCTTTGAAACTTACAGTCTCTGGTCACAGTGTGGATGACCAGGTGGTGGGTTAACTTGGTTTAAGCACTGGGGCGGGGGTTGGCAAATAGCCCAGTAGTTATGGCCCATGCCTTGTTTCAGTTCTGGAACTGCCAAGTCCCCCAAGCATCATAGAGTGTAGCTGTGGAAGGCCCCAGAACCATGGGCCTACTTGGGTATTCCCAGTGCTGTGGACTCAGTAGAGCAGACTCTCATTCTTGGGTCATTGTGCTGAATAATGACCTGGTTCATTAAATATTGCCTTTGGGGTCCTTGGACTTCCTGAGCACCCTTTGTAGCCTTCCTCCCATTTTCCAAAAAGGAAAATAAGGCAAGAATATGATGATAGAGAGGGATTTTTACCTCCCGGAAGAGGTCCCTCACCTTACAGAAAGCCTTAAAGTATCTCAGTGCAAACCTCCAGGACAGAGAGCCTCAGTGCCTTAAGCAGAAGGTGGCCAGCAAACCATGTACTCTGAGAATGGGTGGAGTTACCTGCTGATCATGGACGTGGCCCACCTACGAAGCCTGTCTGGGCTCAGCGCCTGGATGACCATGTCCATCTTCTTGCTGTCGGGGAGGATGAAAAAGGCAGTGCTGTTGTTCTTATACTCCAACTGTACCACCATGCATTCCAGCTCTGAGTCATACAAGTACTTAAAGACATTGGACTGGAACATCATGGGCACCTTCACCACGGTCATGTCATCCAAATAGAAGTCTTCCAACCTGGTGTCTTCTGGGTTGAAGGCCTGTTCCCATGTGCCTGTGCAGACAGAAAGTGAAGGCAGAAGATGAAGAGTGGAAGTTACTCAGAGCTGGGGCATCACTAAGCCAGGGGACGGTCCCCTACTGAGCCGTGAGTGTCAAGGCAACTTTGAGGTTCCCTGGGGTGGGTTCCCTGAGGTGTCTGGTAAAGGATGCCCCAGGGAATTCCTTATTGGATCCCCCAGAGACTGTGGAACTCTCTACTCCCGACAGATGGAGAGTTAGCTGCATTTAAAAATTTTTTTTTATTTTGTATTTTAAAAAAAAAATTTTTATTAGTGAAACACCATGAGGTACAGTTATAGACTTACAAATTTTTGTGCTTGGGTTTCAGTTATACAACAATCAAGTACCCATCCCTTCACCAGCGCCCATCCTCCACCACCACGGGTCCCAGCATCCCTCCCACCCCCCATCCCCCCATCCCACCATGCCTCTGTGGCAGGGCATTCCCCCTTGTTCTCTCTTCTTTTGGGTCCTGTGTTTTGCAAGAGAGGCATTGAGTCAGAAATGTGCCCGGGAGATGTGATTCATTTCTGTGATGGTCCTGATGCTGGGACCTTTTCAGCAGATTCCCTGAGTGATTCAGGGGCTTGGCATCACTCTTGCCGTGTCACACATTATCTGTGCAGTGAGGCCTGTTTCAGCGTTCTCTGGTTTGGTTACCTGGATCTACTCTATCTAAAAAGTTTAGCCCCACTCCATCCGGAGGATGTCAAGAAGCTGAGATATAGAAAGCCTGTGCTAAATGCTGCTACGCCAGTACCCACACCCACTCTGCACAGGTGTATAGGCACCTCTATACTCCTGCATTCTTTTCCTGTTCTTGCTTTTACCCAGGGCTTTTACCCCAGGTCAATTCATTGCCAGAGACTCTGCAATCACTTGTAGGCACCAGATACTAAGCAGAGGTACTGAGCCCCTAAACAGACAAGGATGCACTGTGTGTGAGTGCTCAGTCTGGTGGGAGAGAGGGCCTTTGGCATTTGTGGGAGCACCTGAACTGCCATTGCTAAATGTGCCAAAACTTGGCCCGACCTCTGCCAGGAGTCACGATCACGATCACGACCATCCTGTTATTCGTTGATTGCCTCGAGCAGGCCCCAGTAACGTCTCCTTCGTCCTAGCCCTGAGATTATATTCAAGGCTCTTTAGGAGAATGAGACCCATCATTGTTACTGGTATTTGGCATATTGGGTACACCATGGGGAGTTTGCCACTCTGCCGTGTGGGCAGATTACATTCGGTAGCCTGCAAGTTTGTCCAAAGTAGGAATGAGATAATAAGATGTAGCGCAGCCGCGAATGTGGCCGCGCTTCTGGGAGCTGGGTTTTATAGTCTCTGGGTCTTGGCCGTTGATGAGATTACACGGCACCAGGGGTCCAGTTGGTGGGTGTGACCCCCGCCTACTGGAATTTGGAGGATCTGGGTGGAGGATGCTCAGCCCCGATCTGAGTAGGCTTGGAGATCTCAGTCCCGGGACCAGCATGCCAGGAGTAAAGTATATCATGAAACTACAAAAATAAGGCAAAGCCAGTCACTCTCCAAAAGAATAAAGCTGGAGGCATCACACTTCCTGGTTTCAAATACTACAAAGCTCCAAAATTGCACGGGATTATCACATAAGAAGAACAATAGAGCAGAAACAATCTCCCAGAAACAAACCCTCTCAAGTACTTTTAACTGATATTTGATAAAAGAGCCAATAATACTTAGTGGGGAACAATACGCTGTTCTATAAGTGGTAATTTGAAGTCAGAATATTCCCATGCAAAGGAATGTAGTTGAGTCTCTGTCTAATCTTATACCACTCATCAAATTTAAATAAAAAAAAACAACTGTACCTCATGGTGTCTCACTAATAAAAATTTTAAAAAAAGATCAAAAAGTGAACAGAATGGTTAACATCTAACTCTTGGAAAATAATATAGGGAAAAAATCACTTTGACACTGGTTTGACTTGATATTTTGGATATGATATCAAAATTACAAATAAGGAAAAATCTTTTAAAAATGTGACTACAACAACAACAAAAGACAAAAAAGTTGCATAATTAAAGATACGTTCAACGAAATGGAAACCGTCCTTAGAAATGGGATCAAGGGCCAGAGTGATAGTACAGCAGGTAGGGCACTTACATGTGGCTGACCTGGGTTCAATTTCCAGCATCCCTATATAGTCCCCTGAGTACTTCCAGGAGTAATTCCTGGGTGCAAAACCAGGAATAACCCCCGGGCATTATGACATCCAAACAAAACAAATAAAAGTAAATGGGAACAAACTTTTTCAATCTGGACATTGCTATCTAAATGAATAAACATGTTTTTTTTAATTACATAGCCCAGTACTGTAAAAGACTCCAAAGTCCAATTTGGGATAAAGGCCCCCCAAAGAGGATAATTAAAATGGCCAACAGGTACAGAAAAGCCAACTCAATAATTTACCATTAGAAAAATTCCAAATCAAAATATAATATCTTATAGCAAAAAAAGAAATCTGTCCTAGAATTCAGGCCAGGACAATTTGGATAATATCTCTCTATCTATCTATCTATCTATCTATCTATCTAAGCATTTCCCAAAAGCCATTCTGTACTTCCTCCCCTTAGAGAAGCCCGTGTTCTCTCTTAAACATGTTTCTCTTTTCCTATCCATAGCTCTTAAATGTTTCCTAAACTCTTCATGTCCTTCCTAAAATTCTTTTCTATGACAGGAGACACTGGACTTAAGAACCCAATAAATTTTATAAGAACTTGGGAGCTCTTAACTCTTACTCTTGTCTCTCTGACAAGAAATAGCAGATTTTTGGCAAATGAGAAGAGAAGGAATCCTAATGCATTTTGGAGGAAGGTAAGTTGGTGCAGCTTCTACGGAAGACATTATGTAGGTTTCTCAAAATTAAAAAAAAATACGACTACCACATAGTCCAGTAATTTCACTCTGCATGTTTACCTTAAGAAAATGAAATCACTCACTTGAAGAGATATCTGCACCCCAGGTTCACTGCATTTTTCTCAAGATCCAAGATACAGATACAACCTTAAGAATGTAGGATGGCCAAATTGAAGTAATGGTTTGGCCTTTTAAAGAATCTATATTCTATTTCACATTCGATAGCACAGCAGGTAGGGCATTTGCTTTGCATGCGGTCAACCAGGGTTCAATTCCTTCGCCCCTCTTGGAGAGCCTGGCAAGCTACCAAGAGTATCTCACCCATATGGCAAAGCCTGGCAAGCTAGCTGTGGTGTATTTGATATGCCAGAAACAGTAACAACAAGTCTCACAATTTGTTGTGAGACATTACTGGTGCCCGCTCGAGCAAATCGATGAACAATGGGAGGGCAGTGCTACAGTGCTAATATTTTAATGTGATGGATTGAGGGTGGAGGACCCCTAATACAGTAATGCCAGTAAATTTAGACATTATTCTCAAGGATATTGGTATCTAAACCACCAGATCACAAAACTGATCAGAGGCAGGTTCTGGTTAAAAATAAAAATTCTGCGGTGGGAGAGATAGTATAGTAGGTAAGGTGCTTGTCTTGCACATGACCAACACACCCACTACTGTCTATGGGTCCCAGAGTACTACCAGGAGTGATACCTGAACACATAGCCGGAAATAAGCCCTGAGCATCACTGGATGAGCCCCTACTGGTTCCCTGACTCCCCACCCCCTATCAACCCTGCAAATTCTAAGACTTTTCGTAGGAGACTTTGTTTCTGGAATGGAATCTGGACTTTTTATTTATTTTTTATTTATTATTTATTATTATTTTTAAAATTTATTATTATTTAAAATTTATTATTTTAAATAAATTTATTTTAAATAAATTTATTATTTTAAATAAATTTAAAATTTAAAATTTATTATTATTTTTAAAATTTTGTTGATTCACTGTGAGATATAGTTACAAGCTTTCATGTTTGAGTTACACTCACACAATGATCAAACACCCATCCCTCCACCAGTGCACATTCCCCACCACCAATATCCCCAGTATACCCCAAATTTCCCACCCTCCCACTGCCTATATGGCAGACAATATTCCCCATATTTTCTCTCTACTTTTGGGCATTATGGTTTACGATGCAGATACTGAGAGGTTATCATGTTTGGTCCTTTATCTACTTCCAGCACATATCTCCCATCCAGACCGATTTCTCCAACCATCATTTTCTGGGTGATCCCTTCTCTATTCCAGCTGTCCTCTCTCTGCCCGCTCATGAGGCAAGCTTTCAACTATGGAGCAATCTTCCTGACTCTTATAAATACTGGTCTGGACTTTTTAATTTTAGCAGTTCTCCCTGGAAATTTTTATGTATTGCCAATGACATGATGGAAAACCCTGCTCCAAACTGGTGAGGAGGAAATGAAGATTGGTTGGTGCAAGATCTGGTCAGAGCTGATGTAGCTTATGGAAAGTAGGTACTATGGATTGAAAGGCCATCAGAAATTCCTGAGAATGAGGACTCTGTATGTTCTAGGTTATCATTCAAAATAGGTCCTAATGACTGACTCAGTTCCAGGCTCAGCAGGTATTATTTAGACTTTGAGTATGCCATATGATTCATGGTCATGTATTTTGGCCAACCTCAAAGATTTTGGGCATGTTCAAACTCTTCTGGACATTTACCTTTGTTAGGAACATGGAAGAGAAGAACTTCATGAAGAAATCAACTGCTATGCTCAGTGATACCTGTGTTTTTGATGGTTGTAATTGGTTTTAGTAACAAGTGTCTGATCTTAATGGAATAGCGAGAGAGTACCTGAGAAGAAGACGTAGTTGATCAGGACGATGGTGTTTGGGCTCTGGATATCCAAGATTAAGTCTGATATTTCCCCCTGTGTTTTATTCTTTACATACTCGTTGATTTGACTGCTGGTTTTGGTCCAGTCCTGGAAATCTAAAGGCAAGTTGTCCAACCCATAGTAGTGCTGGGCTTTTACTGGGAATACCGTCATGATATTCAGGGTCTGATTTTGGAACAAGGTTCTTCCTATGCTCATTTTGAAGCTTCTGTCTGACTGCCTGAAGAATTCATAAAGTAGCCGGAAACTCTCTTGGACGTCATAGTTTGACATTTCACTGAGGTCTAAGCCCAGGCCATTAAACAGTTGAATGCGTGCAGGGCCTCCGGTACCCATAGCCAGCATAGTCAAGGCCATAGAAATGCTTACAGGGGAGATCAAGATGTCCTTGTTGGGATTCAAGGTTTCTAGGTTCTTAAAAAGACTGAAGGCAAAGTCAGGAGACAGGTTCCGATAAGGGTTATTGTTGCTTGTATCTGTAGCCTCGATGGTCTGAAAGCCCTTGAGAAGCAAACAGAGGAGGGAGGCGTAGGAGGAGAGCAACATGGTCCACTTCAGCCAAACCCTGCCAAAACAGGAAAGCCTGTTAGCTGTGTGGAACCCCCAGGGCAGAGCTTCCGGTGAAATGGGAGCTGAAGATCCCATCTAAGCCCCACTTCCTTTGTCTCCATTGAGTGTTTGACCTAGGGCAATTCAGGTCATGATGTATTACCTGTATTCTGATCTAAGAAAGAAGGAAATAGAGAATGAGAGAAAGAAAGAGAGAAAGAAAGAGGAGAGAAAGAAAGAATGAGAGAAAGAATAAGAAAGAGAGGGAAGAAAGGATAGAAACTTTTCTCATCCAAAATTAAAATGTACATCACAATTCCAATTTTAGTAAGTATAAATGAGATCTTGTAAGGGCTGAAACAACAAACAACTGAAATTCTAAAAGTATGGACAGGGTTAAAACTTCCAAACAGGAATTCTATACCCAGTGGCACCGCCCAATAGTGTCGTTCAATATAAATGTGGAAGAAATTTAAAGTGTCCCAAGGAAAAGCTGAGGGGTTCGTTATCCCTAAAATGTCACTGTAACAAGTACTATAGAGAGAATTTCTGATTGAGTGAGAGGAATCTAGAGGGTGAACAGATCACTTACAAAGAAATAAATATCCCTATATATGGTAGATGCAATGACAATTATAAAAACTATTATTTTAGTTTGTAACTCCAGTTTTTATTTTCTATTTGATTTTTAAGATAATGCATAAAAGCAATGATTATATTTGGACATAGATTGCATAGTGATATAACATATGACATAACAGAAAGGATATGGGAAAGAACTACGTAGGCTCATAGTTTTGTATGATAGTGAGGTTTGCTTGCATAAGTTCAAATGAGAGTGTTAGACACTTATAATATTAAACATACTTTCTCTTGTGGGTAGTCAAAAATATTTATTAAAAGGTATATATGAGAAATATAAAGGTAAAGGCCCTCCCGTTGATCGTCGATTTGCTCGAGCGGGCCCAGTAACGTCTCCATGGGAGACTTTGTTGTTACTGTGTCTGGCATATCGAATGCTCTTGGTAGCTTGCCAGGCTCTCCGAGAGGAGCGGAGGAATCGAACTCGGGTCGGCCATGTTGGCCGCGTGTAAGGCGAACGCCCTACCCGCTGTGCTATTGCTCCAGCCATATATATATATTTAAAAGTATGTGAGAAAGGAGTTAAAATATTTCACTATACAGAGCAAGTAAATACAAAAGACATCATACAGGACCAAAAAAGGAATATAGAGAATAAAGAGAAAATAAAACTGTGGAAGTAGGAAAACAGAAATATGTCTCTTGTCTCTTTTTTCTTTCTTATTTCTATTTTTTCTCTTTCTATTCTTTCTTTTCTCTCATTCTTTCTCTCATTCTTTCCTTTTCTCTTTCTCTCTGTCTTTCTTCTTTCTTTCCTTTTCTCCCTCCCTCCCTCCCTCTCTTCCTTCCTTCCTTCCTTCCTTCCTTCCTTCCTTCCTTCCTTCCTTCCTTCCTTCCTTCCTTTTTTCCTTCTCTTCATTTCTTGCTTGCTTGCTTTTTCTCTGTCTATCTGTCTCCTATTTCTGTGCTCTGAACCACTCCTGGCAGGGCTTGGGGGACCACATGCAAGGTCAGAAATAGAACCAGGTCAGCTCTGTGCAAGGCAAGCACTTTATCTTCTGTATTGTCTTTCTGACCCTATGTCCGTTCTTATTAATAATTACATTAAAATCAGTGGATAAACTTCTATAAAAGATATAGATATACAGAAAGATTTATAAAACAAACAATGCAGAATCCAACTGCTGCCAAGCTCAAGGCCACTCTTCACACGCTCTGACGAGCCTCATCCAAGAGGGGATGAGCCTCACTCAAGAGGGAACCAGAAGAAAAATGCAGGTATGTGGGAACCCGTGACTGAGATCTCCAAGCCCACTTGGATCGGGACTGGACCTCCTCCCCCCCAACTCCCCAATTTTCCAGTAGCTTGGCAGTTACACCCACAAACTGCCTCCAGGGACATGTAATCTCATCAACGGTCAAGACCCAGAGACTATAAACTAAAGCTCCCAGAAGAGACTGATGAAGAATTTCCTGGAGCATGTGGCCACGAATTACACTATATCTCACTTATCAAAAGTAGCACACATTTGTTTGGTTTTTACACATTTGCTTGTATTCTCTTATAATCGGGCTTAAATGGCTCCAGAATGAAATACATCAACCTTCACACACTTCTCTTTTATTGCAGTGGAAAGGTGCTCAGTGATGGGATTGGTGTTTGAATATGATCTGTAATGAACTTTTATTAACTACTTTTATGAAAATAAAATATATATTAAAAAATAGAAAAGAGGCACTGGTGGAGGGATGTGTATTTGATCATTGTATAATTGAAACCCAAGCACAAAAAATTGTAAGTCTACAACTATACCTCATGGTGTCTCACTAATAAAAATTTAAAAAAATAGAAAAGAAACCAGAATACAGTTATATTCTACAATATACTGCAAGACTACAAGAGACTAATTTTGGATCCAAATATAGTCACACTAGAAGTGTGGAAAATGATAATTTATGCGAATGGCCACAGAGTGATGGAATATCCTTCATAATTGAGAGAAATTTGTTAAGTACACTTCTACCGGTGTGTCTATACTAACATCAGGCTGAAATCATTTTAAATTAAAAGGTTCTAAGTTAACGGACTTGAAGAGAGCTCACTGGAAAGGGTGCATACTTTACACTCACCCAGACCATGGTCTATCCCAACACTGCATGAGCCCCTGAGCATTGTCAGGTATATACCTAGACCCCCCAAATTTGTCAGGTCTGAAAATTAAACCATTTGATTGTTGAAGTATCACTAGAAGTGGCCCCTTAAGACTGCTTGGTCAGTAACAAAAGAATTGAATTAATGAAGGACATTGTAATGAATGTAAAAACACAGCAAGAAATCATGACAATTCTGAATACCTGCACTTTAAATAACAGACCCTAAAATATATACAGCAAACCAAAGATGAGACAAGAGAAGGGCAAAAAGCGATTCCTACACTAGTGTTTGGAGAATACCTATGCTCAGTAATGGATAGGACAACCTGACAGAAGATAAGCAAGGACAGAGAATGTAAACAACACAATCAATGGATTAACTATACCAGACATACACAGCAATACAGAACATTATATCCAACCGCATAAGGCCACAGTTTTGAAGTGCACATGGCCCTTTCCCCAAGATGGACCATATCTTAGGACACAGATCAAGGATAAATATTAAAAAAAAACCCTAGATCTTTAATGTGTCTCTCCTAGTAACAATGTAATGAGGTTAAAAATAATGAGTACTAAGTTAACCAAAGTTAAGTCAGAGAGAGAGAAAGACAAATACAGAAAATTTGACATAGGTGGCTTATAAAGACACCAAAAAATGGAATGGACAGTGACAAATGAAATAAATTTTTGGACACTTACAACAGATGTGAGGTTACCAAGGCAGGGGGTGGTGATGTGGGGAAATGGGGAGGCATGTGGCAAAGCAGAGGTGAACTAAGGACAATAGTGGACAGTATTTGGCACTTTGATGGCAGTGGAGTTGCAACAACTTTGTAACACAAAGCATAAATATTAACATTATTATAGTATTGAAGACCTTGTTGCCTCACTATTAAGAAACACTATAAAGAAATGAAGAATTTTTTTAAAAAAAGCAGAATTAACAAATCTACTACAAAATTAAGTGACATACTATAAAATAATGGATAAATAGGAAACTAGAAGGGAAATAGACAATATTCAGTTGAAAGAAAATAGAAAGACAACATACCAAACTTACCAACATACTATGATTCCAGTAAAAGCAAGGCTTAGAAATTTATTAACCACATTAATAAAGAAAGAAATGGAAACTAACCAACCTTTAAAATTGAAGAACTTAAAGGTTATGATTTTACTCTTTTCAAAATGGAGACGTTACTGGGCCCGCTCGAGCAAATCGATGAACAATGGGAGGACAGTGCTACAGTGCTACAGTGATTTTAAAGAATTGGAGAAAAGAAAAATAAAACAAGAGTAGAACACAGTTAAACAAAATATAGAAGGGAAACAGAAAAATCAGTGAAACAGAAATCTCTTATTAGGACAGTAAAATACAGAAAATTATAATCAGATAACAAACTGGACAAATCTTTCACTAGATTAAGAGAAACATTTCAAATTAGTAAAATCATAATTTAAAATAGAGATATTACTACCACTTTTACAAAAATAAAGAATTGTAAAGATACCATGAAATTTTAATGTCACCGGACAGTGTATCTACATAAATTGGAGAGGTGTCTAGAAATAAAAAACATACTAAGGGCTAGAGCAATAGCACAGAAGGTAGGGCGTTTGCCTTGCAAGTGGCCAACATGGTCAACCCGAGTTTGATTCCTCTGCCCCTCTCGAAGAGCCCGGCAAGCTACAGAGAGTATCTCGCCCGCAAGGCAAAGCCTGGCAAGCTACCATGATGTATTTGATATGCCAAACACAGTAACAAGTCTCACAATATTACTGGGCTTGTTGGAGAAAATCGATGAACAACTGGAGGACAGTGACAGTGACAGTGACTAAGGCTGACTAATAAGAATAATTTATTTTATAGGGGATATAATACATTCTGACATAATTTATAATTACAATATCCAAAAATATCTGAAGGGCTGGAGAGACACTACAGGTTTAAGGTGCTTGCCTTGCAAGTAGCTAACCTGTGTTCAATCACAACACTGCATTTGGTCCTCTGAGCCATACCAGGAGTGATCCCTGAGGACAGAGCCAAGAGCAAGCGCTGAGTATAGGTAGTTGTGATGAGCATAGCCAGTTGTGAACCCAAAACTGAAAGAAAAAAAATAATTAAAAAGAACATTTGGGAAAGAGCAACACATTTAGAAGTTCTTATTTTGCAATTGACTATGAATCTGTAATAACTGAAACAACATTGTATTGACAAGATGATGCAGTATTCTAAAAAGGAAAGAAATCTGTTGTCA